GGGGGTTACGGTGAGGGTGACCAGGGAAACAGAGGTCAGGGAGGGGGCGGCAGGAGCATCTACAGCAGCGGAGGTCACGGTGGCGGCAGCCAGGGCAGCAGAGGTCGCGGTAGGGGCGGTCAAGGCAGTGGTCATGATGGACATTACTCTGAATGGTATCATTACTGCCGTGGCGTGAGGCGTGGTTCTCCACACTGGGTGCCTGGGCTGGACGAGTGGTGTGTCATCAACTGCGCTAATGGTCACTGCCCTTCCACACACTGTGTCTGCTAACTCTTTCACACACCATCGGTGTTTTGTATGCTGGACTGAATATACCATCTACTCTGACACGTATACAAGCCCTACAAGCTGAAATTTCACACCACTACAAGAGCTACATAAAAAGGGAAGAATCCTGTGGGTGCAAACTCCCAGCTTACTAGGCATGAGGTACTTGCACCACCACTGTGCCAAGGGTATTAGAGTGTTTGTAATTCAGAACTTAGTCCCCTTACTGTGAAAGCCCCGTTGATCTTATATATCACATTTTACACAACTCACAGTGCTAAGCCAGATGCAATATGCTCGTATATGTTAACAGGTATATAGGGACACACATCCTGCTCCCTAGATGCTACGAAGATATAAGTAAAGATGATCTAAAACTGTCTTGTGGATTCAGCATGAGTAGTGGAATACAACTCTCTTTCATGTCCCTCAGGTAGGGGTAACATGCCTCTCCCTGCATTCAGTGCGATAACAGTTTAAACCCTCAAACTTCCTCCCTTGTAATACTGGTTCTAGTTAGTGGCTTTAAGGAGATACAGGTCAGAATGTATTCATTCTTTCCTGTAAAAATATATCACTTAGTATATCATTGTTTATATTCACTCAGTAACCATCCAGTTACTAGCCAGACGCAAGTGTGCTCACTATAACTCAATGATATGCTTATTAATCACAATATTTTAGTGCCATTTCCAGGTATATTATATCTATACTACCGCAGACTGTAATTAGTAAGTAATTAATGTGGATCATTAATGTCTCAGTTTATAATGTTACAGCAGCCATCAAATTTACAGAAGCCCTAAGTTATATCTGCATTTACAAACACGGCACTTTAAAAACCATTTACAAATACGGCACTTTAAAAACCATTTACAAACACGGCACTTTAAAAACCATTTACAAACACGGCACTTTAAAACCATTTACAAACACGGCACTTTAAAAACCATTTACAAACACGGCACTTTAAAAACCATTTACAAACACGGCACTTTAAAAACCATTTACAAACACGGCACTTTAAAAACCATTTACAAACACGGCACTTTAAAAACCATTTACAAACACGGCACTTTAAAAACCATTTACAAACACGGCACTTTAAAAACCATTTACAAACACGGCACTTTAAAAACCATTTACAAACACGGCACTTTAAAAACCATTTACAAACACGGCACTTTAAAAACCATTTACAAACACGGCACTTTAAAAACCATTTACAAACACGGCACTTTAAAAACCATTTCAAGTTTTATAACCACTGAACCAGAATACAAACTTGGCAAGAAATAAACACGATTTATTATAATGTCCTCTATACAAACTCTTCCATAAGTATGAGAACCAGAAACATGATGAGTTAGTGAGCTTGGGGACCCCCTATTATAATTATTATTATTATTATTATTATTATGATAGCTAAAGTAAATTGCTAAACTCTTGTGGGCTATTAAGCACTGTCATCAGTTCACAACTAATCTTATAAGAGTAAATTTATAAGATTGTTAACTCCTGTCCTGGGTCTTCAACTATCAACAAACAACCACTCAAGAGTCACCTTCTCCGAAGGACAACAGCCAACTAAATTTATGCAAATTTTTGATATGGCAATTTTTAATTTTACCAGGAAAAAAAAAAGTTGCCTGGCAACCTAAGACTTCAATTTTATGTAACGAAAATTGCTGAATTGAGGTAAATTACCCGAGAATTGGCTTAAGTCTAGTAACTGTTGCTCCCTGAAAGTATGGAAGGGAGAGGAAGGGGAGGGAGGGTAGTTGGCAAGAATATGCAAAGTACTCGACACGGAACAGCAGTACTGTGTGACCCTTACGGGTTTAGCGCTTGGTTATGATTATAATAATCGACACGGAATTTATCTGATCGAAATTATACTTACTTTTAGTAAGTATAACTAACGGTAAAAAGGCACGTGGATAAAGAAAATATATGCAGTACTTATTCTTGTACTGATTATAAAATATCTATGAATGTCGGCGGTGTTCAGGCGACACACAGCTTATGGTCGCTGTACGAGCCGAGAAAGGTATCCCCGTATCCTATAAGCTCAGCCCCTTCTACTTTAATACAGGCAATAGTAGTGCAGGATGCGGCATAAATCTGTAATGCAGTCACATATATCAACAATGAAGATTTAATGATCAGATTAGGCAATCGTAAATAAATCATCTGGAAGCCAATATCCCAATTTCGCCAATAAAAATAGCCAATTACCACCTAAACAGCTCCACCCTCAATATCGCGCCTTAATGTGAGTTACACCAGCTTTGAAAGTTTCAAGCCAATCAGAAGACGTATTCTTAAGTCATTGTACAAAAAACCAAAATCCATAAATACTCTTAAAAAATTATATTCTCAAGTGCTGCTGAAGGTTTGAATCCGACCAGATAATTTTTACCAGTTACTGAGCACACGCACCAAAATTCGGAGGGCACATGCACATGTCAGTAGCTCCATGTACTGTCCTCTAGTTGACCTGCGTGGAAAATGTGAAATGGAATGGACAAGGCTTTCTTATACTGTAAATGAAAATCTGAGTAGAAAATAACACTGTATCCGAGTACATGACCGGCTCTGTATTGTAACCATATGAAAATAGGATATTTACGGGCTCACTAAACTCATGAAAATTAAAATAGTCACAGAAACGAAAGTTTTCAATTTTTCTAGGTTCTCTTCTCTCAGTCGTATTCTATTTCAGACTCTCTGTAGTCCCACATGGAAACTTTTTACTCATAAGTCCTATGAGCAACAAGGAGAGCGGGTGGACTGAAGTAAAAATTTTGGCAAATTTGCCCAACACGGTCCAGTAACTGTGTTGAAGGTTTGAAGCAGATCGGATGAAGCATTCACAAATTATTGCATGAAAAATATTTCCAAATTTCACATTTGTCAATACAACTGACAAATTAGGTAATCACACAGGTGGCCTGGTGGCTAAAGCTCCCGCTTCACACAAGGTTCGATTCCCGGCGGGTGGAAACATTTCGACACGTTTCCTTACACCTGTTGCCCTGTTCACCTAGCAGCAAATAGGTACCTGGGTGTTAGTCGACTGGTGTGGGTGGCATCCTGGGGGACAAGATTGAGGACCACAATGGAAATTAGTTAGACAGTCCTTGATGACGCACTGACTTTCTTGGGTTATCCTGGGTGGCTAACCCTCGTTGGTTAAAAATCCGAATGAAATCTTATCTTATCTTATCTTATCCCAAAAGTTTGTCTAATTAAGATATACCAGCGGTCTGAGGCAGACCTTTTAAAGCCTCCCATATACTCGAATTTTTCATTACTTAGGAAAATCAAGATTTTTGCCCACCTTCCCTGCCCTAGGAAAACCTTTTTCTCCTCTCCTCTGAGTAAACCTCTAAACAGTATACTTCATGGTAGACACGAGGAAGATAAACATATTTCTAAACGAAGGTAAAGGGGAATATAATTTTTTTTATTAATACGTATTAGTAATGAATGAGTGAATAGAATGATCGCGGGTTCAAATCCCGCCCGTGGTATGGTTTAGTCGACTTTAGCTTAAATAACCTAACTTGGTTAACTTTCATCAAAGATGACTTTAGTAAAGGAATCTTAAAACTGGGAGAGATACTCTTGTTAGGTAAGACACATATGCAACAGTTAGGTAACTTTATTTCGAAACGTTTCGCCTACACAGTAGGCTTCTTCAGTCGAGTACAGAAAAGTTGATAGAAGCAGAAGATACTTGAAGACGATGTAATCAGTCCATCACCCTTAAAGTTTTGAGGTGGTCAGTCCCTCAGTCTGGAGAAGAGCATTGTTTCGTTGTATGAAACAATATTGTTTCATACAACGAAACAATGCTCTTCTCCAGACTGAGGGACTGACCACCTCAAAACTTTAAGGGTGATGGACTGATTACATCGTCTTCAAGTATCTTCTGCTTCTATCAACTTTTCTGTACTCGACTGAAGAAGCCTACTGTGTAGGCGAAACGTTTCGAAATAAAGTTACCTAACTGTTGCATGTGTCTTACCTAACAACCTGTCGGTATTTTATACCATTTTAATGTTCAGAGATACTCTTACATAATAACAATGCACAATACCATGACTGGAACAAGATACAAATACCTCCCACACGGGAGAAAGAAACATGTCAATATGCCACTCCTTGGCGACCAGTATGTGTATCAGAAATATCTTCAGGTAGATCTGGCAAGTTCTAGTATCATCAACACTTCTTCAGCTCCGTCCCAGGGGCGACGAGGTCCTCCTGACCTCTGTCGCTCCTCTGAGTCGCTGAATGAATCACTCTTCTCACACCTAAACAAGACATAACCATCTGCCGTAACCCCTTTGCTTATCCTATTTTAACAGTTCCTCGACAAATCTGTTTGTAAATTGATAGAGCCCACTGTTTGGGCGAAACGTTCTCAATAAAGCATTGCGTTGTACAAGATCTCTCTCTTTTCCATCCTGTCGATATTTTAGACCATCTCTCTGAGCTCCTTAACAAGGTGTTCTTACTACCATATTCACTTGAAACATTACGAGAGACATTCTGTAGCGGTTGCATCTAAATTAATTTTAATAAATCTGGCAAATTAAAACTTCACAGCCAATAATCAACACAAATCTTAACTGCAGTAAAGCAACAACCGTTGGAAGTTTTATGTCGATCAGATGAGACATTCACAAGTTATTGCTGGTAATCCAGTGATTTCAAGTTTATTAAGTATGCGAGAAAACTGGTAAATTTATACATGTGAAGCCGAAAGGTGCCTGGGAATTAGTCGACTGGGGAGGGTGGCATCCTGGGGGGAAATGTATTAAAGGACCCCGGTGAAAATAAATCAGCCAGTCTGATGACAGTGACTTTGCTGGGTTACTCGGCTTATCAACCCCACGGGTAATAATCCAAAATCATCACATAGATTTCTCTCTGGCCTAGGCTGCAGCGTGTTTATATGTCTTTCAACACCATCACGGGAGGCATCTAATATTCAGTGCGGTTAAGTCTCTTTACCAAGACTATTTTTTTTCTATTCGGCTGAGCCTAGTAGACAAAAAATATTTTAATAGGTTGAGTGCAGCAGTGAGAAGACGAAGCGAAGTATTTCGCATCCTGCATATAATCGTATGTTTGTACATGTCAGTCATCACACAGGAAGGTGTGTGTGTATATGCCAGCCATCACACAGGAAGGTGTGTGTGTATATGCCAGCCATCACACAGGAAGGTATGTGTGTATATGCCAGTCATCACACAGGAAGGTGTGTGTGTATATGCCAGCCATCACACAGGAAGGTATGTGTGTACATGCCAGTCATCACACAGGAAGGTGTGTGTGTATATGCCAGCCATCACACAGGAAGGTATGTGTGTACATGCCAGTCATCACACAGGAAGGTATGTGTGTATATGCCAGCCATCACACAGGAAGGTATGTGTGTACATGCCAGTCATCACACAGGAAGGTATGTGTGTACATGCCAGTCATCACACAGGAACGTATGTGTGTATATGTCAGTCATCACACAGGAAGGTGTGTGTGTATATGCCAGTCATCACACAGGAAGGTATGTGTGTACATGCCAGTCATCACACAGGAAGGTATGTGTGTATATGCCAGTCATCACACAGGAAGGTATGTGTGTATATGCCAGCCATCACACAGGAAGGTATGTGTGTACTTGCCAGTCATCACACAGGAAGGTGTGTGTATATGCCAGCCATCACACAGGAAGGTGTGTGTGTATATGCCAGCCATCACACAGGAAGGTATGTGTGTATATGCCAGCCATCACACAGGAAGGTATGTGTGTACTTGCCAGTCATCACACAGGAAGGTGTGTGTATATGCCAGCCATCACACAGGAAGGTGTGTGTGTATATGCCAGCCATCACACAGGAAGGTATGTGTGTACATGCCAGTCATCACACAGGAAGGTATGTGTGTATATGCCAGCCATCACACAGGAAGGTATGTGTGTACATGCCAGTCATCACACAGGAAGGTATGTGTGTACATGCCAGTCATCACACAGGAACGTATGTGTGTATATGTCAGTCATCACACAGGAAGGTATGTGTGTATATGCCAGCCATCACACAGGAAGGTATGTGTGTATATGCCAGTCATCACACAGGAAGGTATGTGTGTATATGCCAGCCATCACACAGGAACGTATGTGTGTATATGTCAGTCATCACACAGGAAGGTATGTGTGTATATGCCAGCCATCACACAGGAAGGTATGTGTGTATATGTCAGTCATCACACTGGAAGGTATGTATGTATATTCCAGTCATCACACAGGAAGGTATGTGTGTATATGCCAGCCATCACACAGGAACGTGTGTGTATATGTCAGTCATCACACAGGAAGGTATGTGTGTATATGCCAGCCATCACACAGGAAGGTATGTGTGTACATGCCAGCCATCACACAGGAAGGTATGTGTGTACATGCCAGCCATCACACAGGAAGGTATGTGTGTATATGACAGCCATCACACAGGAAGGTATGTGTGTACATGCCAGCCATCACACAGGAAGGTATGTGTGTACATGCCAGCCATCACACAGGAAGGTATGTGTGTACATGCCAGCCATCACACAGGAAGGTATGTGTGTACATGCCAGCCATCACACAGGAAGGTATGTGTGTACATGCCAGCCATCACACAGGAAGGTATGTGTGTTCATGCCAGCCATCACACAGGAAGGTATGTGTGTACATGCCAGCCATCACACAGGAAGGTATGTGTGTACATGCCAGCCATCACACAGGAAGGTATGTGTGTACATGCCAGCCATCACACAGGAAGGTATGTGTGTACATGCCAGCCATCACACAGGAAGGTATGTGTGTACATGCCAGCCATCACACAGGAAGGTATGTGTGTACATGCCAGCCATCACACAGGAAGGTATGTGTGTACATGCCAGCCATCACACAGGAAGGTATGTGTGACATGCCAGCCATCACACAGGAAGGTATGTGTGTACATGCCAGCCATCACACAGGAAGGTATGTGTGTACATGCCAGCCATCACACAGGAAGGTATGTGTGTACATGCCAGCCATCACACAGGAAGGTATGTGTGTACATGCCAGCCATCACACAGGAAGGTATGTGTGTACATGCCAGCCATCACACAGGAAGGTATGTGTGTACATGCCAGCCATCACACAGGAAGGTATGTGTGTACATGCCAGCCATCACACAGGAAGGTATGTGTGTACATGCCAGCCATCACACAGGAAGGTGCATTATGCATCATATTCAGTACATCAGCAGCTTGTGCTCACCTACTGAACATTTCATATATCGAAAAAAAAGGTAACTAAGCTAATAGGTTTTTATTGAGGGTCAGTACACAAGTTTAGAGTTTTAACAGTTATCTTCTGTAGTAACTTACATAAACAATTAACCTACGATAAGCCGATAAACTAAAAGTTGATTTATTCATGTTGGGGTCCCCGATAGTGTGAAATTTCACTTATTAGTACTAATGTATGTTGTCAGAACGCTAGGTAAGTTGAGTCCATGACTGAAACAAAGATGGGATGGGCAGGAAGCTAGGAAACACAACGTGTGATCACTGAAACAAGGATAGGATGGGCTTGTAGTTAGCACACACAGCGCTTGTAGTTACAGTTGCCCTTAGCACAGTTCACCTTACACCAGTGGTCCAGCCCAGGGGTCCAGAAGGGTGAGTAAGGGGGCACACCACGGCAGAATTTGACAGGATAGTGTCGCTTGTGTCTGGCCCCATCCTCGCCCTGTCAAGGAGAACGAAGCAAATAACATTATTATTAAAATAATAACGATAATGAAGAGAAAATGGTCTAATTAGATAACAGAGAACCCAATAATTAAGATTAAGGAGGGAAATATATTAAGGAGTAGAAAGGTGTAATAAATGAGAAGTCATTATAGAGGCATAGCAATATCAAAGGTGCTCACGTCTCCTGAGGTGTTGGTATCGTCATCCAGAGGTGCTCCTGGGTCATTGTAGTCATCATCCTGTTGGACAGTAACAACACCAATCCTGTTATTAACCTATATTACCATTGGTTGTGCTGATGTTATTTACTAAAACTTTTGTTTAATTATTATTTATTGCTTAATAAAGATGATTACTACTACTCATACTACTACTACTATTGCCACAACTACTACTAATAAAACAATACAAAGCGAGTTTGAGTCTCGGTAGAACCTGATGATTAATATTTAATGTTTTATATAGTTTTACTTCAAGAGTTGGTTTGATAAGGACCGAGAAGCCAGACGTCAGTGATACCGATCGGAGAATTCTATGAGCAGGGACCAGGAGCTGACATACACCAGTGACTATGTATGTACAAAAAAAAATCAATAAATAGGGAACAGAGCAAGGAGAGACTGACTTAAATAAAACAGAGGATTTTGAATTTATTAAAAAGTGGAATACATTTACTTAAGAACAAATAGACACTGGATCATTAATATATCTTTAATTTTTAAAGGGGTGGACCGGTAAGCCAGCGGAAGGCTTCGGTCAAATGACCAAAAGCTCATATGACTGAGACCCTCGTCAGAAAACACTTGTCCTGTTTCTTGACGAACCTTACCTAACTTAGCCTAGAGAAAGCACTGAGGGCAGACTGTAGGAAAAGCTCACTGCTGTGTTTAAAAGAAAAAGTAAATATCGAAGCTTCAGTGCAACATGTACATCTTTTTAAAGTTTACCGTCTCAGTAGAACTGTCCTGAGGCATACCCATCACGCCCACCACACACACCAACGATATTAACAGCACCAGGGGCATCCCCCGCAGGGAGAAGGATGGGACACAGCGCTTCATGCCTGGAGAATGCAAGGTTTGATCAGAGGAAGGAGAGGAGTAGTATTTCCCCAGAGCACAAATTCCGTTTATTCACAGGACAGCATCGCTCCCTCCCCCCCCACACACACATTATTTCGAAACAGTTGTTTGTATATTTATCAGTGTGAAACGTTAAATCAGTGTGTAGTTACTTAGTACGAGGAGTGGAGGAGGCTCGATCCTCCGTCACTTATGTGCCGGAGACGCACACCACCTGATTCTACTCACTTGACTTGATAAAGCTCTATAGAGCGAGAGACTAGATAAAGTTCTACACAGTGCAAACCACTGCTTAACGAAACTCGACACAGTGAAACATGATAAAGCTCTACACAGAGTGAAACTGTCGTAACAGAAGCTTGGTCATCAACCTGTGTCTTGCCTTCACAAATTTCTTCAGTCACAACAACTGCTTCCTACTGACCTGTGGCTGACGAAGGTAAGGAGTTGATGTAGGTATCTGCTGGTGTTGTTGATGCTGTGACACCTGTGACTCCTCTGGCTCCCAGTCACTGATGCCAACACCTTTTATCCCACCCCCAAGGTAACCCAAGGCACCTTACCTGGCCCTTGAGAGAATGAGAAAGAGAGAGAGAGAGATAAATAGAAAGGGGATGGATGGGAGAATATCCTGGGTACTACGCTTCATGCCAGCCGGGTCGACCTGGATCGAGACAAGGTGGGAAAATACAAACACGACGTTATTATTAGCCATTATGATGACAGAAAGACGGTAAACCCGTAAGAATCCTACGCCTGGATACTCAAGGATCCTTATTGGATCTTAAAATGATTAGAGTAACCGAGATATAACCGGAAATCCTGAAATAAAAGTTGATTATCAATATTGTTGGAGGCGGGAGGCGTAGCCTCGTAACTGTTATACTCTTGTGAGGGGGAAGGGAGGTAATCAGGTTTGATTCGAGGAAGGGACGTCGGGGAGGAAGGGTAGTTCTGATTCCTTGGCTCAAGAGCCCTTCACCGGTGTCATCCTCCCCCTCTTAAAGGGTCTGAAAATGGGATGCTTAAAAAACCATCCGCAGTTTGGTGTTTAGTGGTGGGAGGGTATGAGTGAGGAAAAGGAAGGGTGGGGGTAGGAGGGAGGCAGGGGTAATGGAGGAGGGACTGCTGGTCGGGGACTCGAACCATGGTCCCTCTATATACCAGGCTCAAGGCTGTAGCCACTAAGCCATTGAGCTTACAAAGGAACGATTGTACAACCAGGACAACTGTGACCTGGTTGTATCATTTGCACAAATTAGTATATGCAACAGATGGCCTGGTATATGAACGGAGCACGGTTCGATTCCTCGTCCAGTATTCTGTGGTATGTGTTTTCCCCGAAGTTATGTGCGCCAATCCAAGATGGTTCTGGCCCACCACGGAAAGTATTAAGCATGAATGTAATCCACAGAAACAAGTATACTTTAATATGACGTACAGGCATTGCAGTCATCTCAAAGTATATACCCTAAGAGATAAATACCAATCAGAGCATATACATTGAGACCACACCTCTCAGTATATATATATATATATATATATATATATATATATATATATATATATATATATATATATATATATTATATATATGTATATATATGTATATATATGTGCTGAAACACATCTCAGTGTACCTTCGGGATATGGGTCTCACGTCGTCATGGTAATTCCGAGAGAAAGAGAGAGAGAGAGAGAGAGAGAGAGAGAGAGAGAGAGAGAGAGAGAGAGAGAGAGAGAGAGAGAGAGAGAGAGAGAGAGAGAGAGAGAGAGAGAGAGAGCTGCTTGACAGCAGGGTTGCAAGATTTTGTACGAGGCACAAGTACGCTCACACCTTGAGTATGCTCCACTTTCTTGGTTCTCCTGCCCCCCTTCTCATCTGCGACTGCTTGACAGAATAGAGAACAGAGCAAGACGTCTCATCTCTCGCCTGCACCAATCCTGGATAGATCTGTCATTTCAGCAGAGCCTTCAACACAGGAGGAATGTGGGTGGCCTTACTGTTATGTACAAGGCCAATATTATCAAAGTACCACACTTGGATCCACTTCGAGGACAGCGTGAAGCAAGCTACTATACCACATGACGGGCAGAAAGCAGCAAGTTCACTCTGGCTGTACCCTTCTCCAGGGAATTGCAGGCTCTATGCTATGTCTGCTCAGTGATTACCTTCATGGTAGATCTCTAAGGGTAGCTCTAAATGGAACGGAATCAGCAAGACATCCTATTGGGACCATTGTTATGGAATGTCTACTTCAACGACCTTCTTCATCTCATCCCAGAATCCCATGCATATGCAGACGAATGTACACTGACATTCACTTATCCAAGAGAAGAAATGCCAGCTGCTCTAAGCTACATCAATCACCAGCTAAGAGCTATATCAGCTTGGGGAAATAGATGGCAAGTAACATTTGCACCTGAGAAAATGCAAATGATGATCGTCTCTAGGCACCATGATGGTAATGCTGGTGCAGTAGTAAGGATGAATGGGAGGGTGTTGGCACCTGGAGAAGAAGTTGATATCCTTGGGGTGAAATTTGACTCCAAACTGACCATGAAGAACCATGTTGTAAATCTTGCAAACAAGGCAGCCAGGAAGCTTACAGCACTTCGCCGTATCTCACATCTGCTTGACAATAGGGGTTGCAAGATTCTGTATGAGGTACAAGTACGCTCACACCTTGAGTATGCTCCACTTTCTTGGTTTGCCTGCCCCCCTCTCATCTGCGACTGCTTGACAGAGTAGAGAACAGAGCAAGACGTCTCATCTCTCGCCTGGACCCATCCTGGATAGATCAGTCATTTCAGCAGAGCCTTCAACACAGGAGGGATGTGGGTGGCCTTACTGTTATGTACAAGGCCAATATTGTCAAAGTACCACACTTGGATCCACTTCGAGGACAGCGTGAAACAAGCTTTTGTGCCACAAGACGGGCAGAAAGCAGCAACTTCACTCTGGCTGTACCCTTCTCCAGAGCATCACTCCATCTGAGATCATATATACCCAGGATGACTCGAGAATGGAACACATTCGTACAGCATAATGATGTCAACGAGATAAAGTCAGTTGATCACATGAAAATGCTGGCCCACAGATGGCTCCAACTTCATCCTGTTCCCTACTTGTATGTCTCATAACAATAAAAATGCTTTCAAATGAGCTGATGTAGGTAACAGCTCTTAGCTTGCCAATAAAGTTAGGAATCCTTAACCTGTAAATAGCTTGTCAATAAAACTAGGGATCCTTAACCTTGTCAAACCCTGTGTAAAGAGAGAGAGAGAGAGAGAGAGAGAGAGAGAGAGAGAGAGAGAGAGAGAGAGAGAGAGAGAGAGAGAGAGGCCATTGTTATGGAATGTCTACTTCAACGACCTTTTTCATCTCATCCCAGAATCACATGCATATGCAAACGACTGCACACTGACATTCACTTATCCAAGAGAAGAAATGCCAGCTGCTCTAAGCTACATCAATCACCAGCTGAGAGCTATATCAGCTTGGGGAAATAGATGGCAAGTAACATTTGCACCTGAGAAAACGGAAATGATGATCGTCTCTAGGCACCATGATGGTAATGCTGGTGCAGTAGTAAGGATGAATGGGAGGGTGTTGGCACCTGGAGAAGAAGTTGATATCCTTGGGGTGAAATTTGACTCCAAACTGACCATGAAGAACCATGTTGTAAATCTTGCAAACAAGGCAGCCAGGAAGCTTAGAGCACTTCGCCGTATATCGCATCTACTTGACAGTAGGGGTTGCAAGATTCCGTACGAGGCACAAGTACGCTCGCACCTTGAGTATGCTCCACTTTCTTGGTTTGCCTGCCCCCCTCTCATCTGCGACCGCTTGACAGAGTAGAGAACAGAGCAAGACGTCTCATCTCTCGCCTGGACCCATCCTGGATAGATCAGTCATTTAAGCAGAGCCTTCAACATAGGAGGGAGGTGGGTGGCCAATATTGTCAAAGTACCACACTTGGATCCACTTCGAGGACAGCGTGAAATAAACTTTTATGCCACAAGACGGGCAGAAAGCAGCAACTTCACTCTGGCTGTACCCTTCTCCAGAACTTCACTCCATCTGAGATCCTATATACCCAGGATGACTCGAGTATGGAACACATTCGTACGACATAATGATGTCAACGAGATAAAGTCAGTTGGTCAAATGAAAATGCTGGCCCACAGATGGCTCCAACTTCATCCTGTTCCCTACTTGTATGTCTCATAACAATAAAAATGCTTTCAAATGAGCTGATGTAGGTAACAACTCTTAGCTTGCCAATAAAGCTAGGAATCCTTAACCTTTAAATAGCTTGTCAATAAAGTTAGGGATCCTTAACCTTGTCAAACCCTGTGTAAAGAGAGAGAGAGAGAGAGAGAGAGAGAGAGAGAGAGAGAGAGAGAGAGAGAGAGAGAGAGAGAGAGAGAGAGAGAGAGAGAGAGAGAGAGAGAGAGAGACAGAGAGAGAGAAGAGAGAGGAAGGGGGAATTTTCGAATGTAAACAGATTATGTAATCTACCGGATGTTTAAGATAAAACAATCTGAGGCTTACATGTTCCCGAGCTGCTTGTTCTCTGATCACTGAGACAGGTGGCTGGGGGCTTGTAAGATACAGGGATACCTTTCTGGGATCACTGAGGTAGACGGGGCTGGGGGCTTGTAAGATACAGGGATGCCTTTCTGGGATCACTGAGGTAGACGGGGCTGGGGGCTTGTAAGATACAGGGATACCTTTCTGGGATCACTGAGGTAGACGGGGCTGGGGCTTGTAAGATACAGGGATACCTTACTGGGATCACTGAGGTAGACGGGGCTGGGGCTTGTAAGATACAGGGATACCTTTCTGGGATCACTGAGGTAGACGGGGCTGGGGGCTTGTAAGATACAGGGATACCTTTCTGGGATCACTGAGGTAGACGGAGCTGGGGCTTGTAAGATACAGGGATACCTTTCTGGGATCACTGAAGTAGACGGGGCTGGGGCTCGTAAGATACAGGGATACCTTTCTGGGATCACTGAAGTAGACGGAGCTGGGGCTTGTAAGATACAGGGATACCTTTCTGGGATCATTGAGGTATACGGGGCTGGGGGCTTGTAAGATACAGGGATACCTTTCTGGGATCACTGAAGTAGACGGGGCTGGGGCTTGTAAGATACAGGGATACCTTTCTGGGATCACTGAGGTAGACGGGGCTGGGGCTTGTAAGATACAGGGATACCTTTCTGGGATCACTGAAGTAGACGGGGCTGGGGCTTGTAAGATACAGGGATGCCTTTCTGGGATCATTGAGGTAGACGGGGCTGGGGGCTTGTAAGATACAGGGATACCTTTCTGGGATCACTGAGGTAGACGGGGCTGGGACTTGTAAGATACAGGGATACCTTTCTGGGATCACTGAGGTAGACAGGGCTGGGGCTTGTAAGATACAGGGATACCTTTCTGGGATCACTGAAGAGGACGGGGCTGGGGCTTGTAAGATACAGGGATACCTTTCTGGGATCACTGAAGTAGACGGAGCTGGGGCTTGTAAGATACAGGGATACCTTTCTGGGATCATTGAGGTATACGGGGCTGGGG